TTGTCTCGGAACTTGGAAAATGAAAATGAGGAATTGAGAAAAATAAATCAAGACAATGCCCAACAATTGGAATTATTGGACCAAGAAAAGGCTAGCCGAGAAGCCTTGCAAAAATTGGTAAAGACAATGGTTAAAGACCAAGCTGAGAAGGGAGCCAAGGTCAACCATGGCCCCTATCTAAATACCATTAACCATTTGAAAAAGAAACTCCAGGAGCGCAGCCTGCAAGTAGCAGCTGTCATCCGGGGAGACCAAGCCAGGGATCCAGACATCCCCTTCAATCCAGGAGAGATTTGGGGTGGGGAGATGTGGGGAGATCCAGAGGATGCAGGGGATCCCTCTCCTGAAGACCCTAAGTCAGATCAGGAGAGGACCCTGGTGCCTGAGGTGAGCGCAATCACGTGGACCTCAGTCACTCGGGATGCCCAGGGAAAACCCATGGAAACCACACAGGTAAGGGTCCCCCTCAGTGGAGCTGATCTAGCAGCCCTGGGCAAGACCCTGGGATCTGCTAACATTAGGAATTTGGGACAGTGGTTGCAGAAATCCCTCAATGTAGTGGAGTGTGAAACCCCGAGTGTCCGGGGATGGCACCGCCTACTAAGGGCTTGCGCCACCCCAGAGATTCAGGCAGCTATGGATCAGGAGGACAGCTTTGGGGGAAGACAATATTCTCCGGAGCATAGCGGGTTTGGGGATCAGTTTGGGGAGAAAGACATTTAAGGCGCAGTTTGGGGCTAGCTACCAGACACCTGGGGAACCTGTTAGGGACTATGTGATCTGGTGTGTTATGTTGGGATTGCTGTCAGGGACGGTTCTACCCCTAGACAAGGAGAAGAAACAGACATCGGACATAAGAAGTATAGATTACTGTCCTGGATTTTGGAAGGAGGTACAGGAAGGCATACATCAGTCCATAATTGGACTGATGGGGCCACTCCGAGAGACCGTCAGATATGTGCTGGGAGAAGTCCTAGCCCGGGCTCAGGATGCAGAGAGGTTAATTGGACGTCAAGGGGGGGCAACTGCAGCCACCCAGTTCAGAGAAAAGCTTAATGACACACCGAATTATATGGTTACCTATTCTAATGAAAGTGCATACCCCAAACCTGATAGGGGGGTTGGGGGTCCAAATTATCGCCCCAGCCCACACTGGGATAACCCAAGGGTATCAAAGGAAAGAGAGGGGGAAAACGGGATTCGGTCAGCAGTGTGGAAGTTTTTAACGCAGCATGGGGAAAAAAAAAGGGAAACGGGCATGGAAAGCCTCTAGCCGAGCTGCTTATCAGAATGGCAGAGCTGACTGGAAGAAGGACCAAGTATTGTACATACTTTAAGAGCGCCTTATCCTATTCACCAACCCTGCAGCACTAGTGGACATTGCTGTTTCATCAATAGCAAAGACTCCATGAAACCAGGTGGCAAATACTTTATTTTACACTGTACTTACATGGATGAAAGCTACCCATGTACTTAGATGAAAGTAGATTTAGAAAAAAAGTAATTTACTTTCACCTCATCACAAAATGAGTGAAGAGAAGTCAAACCTGAATTTATGGTAAAAAATAGCTTAAAAGATTTAACCCACCTCCATGCCCCAACCCCTGCTCCACCCAATGCCCCCTCCTGCAAAAAAAAATAAAAATCAACAAACAGTCCCCACTATGACACTGAATTAATTCTTACCCATTGCTGCTGCTTGCTGTGTGCTGTGTGTCTGTGGATGCCATTGTGCAGCTTCAGTCTCAATCAGTTCATCTGAAAAGAAGAGGACATTCATCCTTAAATTTAATATCCAAGTATCCAAAATATCCCTTTATAAAATGTAGGACATGAATATTCAACTTCTATAGGAACAGTCTACATTTTGCTTAAGACATAAGATGAGGGAAAGAACATTTTGCTGGGAGACCCCAAATGAGGTGGTGCCCTATCCTATCTTGGGAATCTGCAAGAGGAGGCCGGACAGATATTTGGCTGGGGTGATATGACTGTGGAACCTGTTCCTGCCTGGGGCAGGGGGTCGGACTTGATGATCTGTTTAGGTCCCTACCGACCCTAAGCACTATAAAACTATGAATTTTTTAATCATACAAGGGAAGAAGCAAAGAGCAAATTGCAGTCTCCCTCCAATTTCCCAAGGAAGCACAATTCCTAGTAACATGCTTCTAATGAGTCTTGTTAACATGAAGTGGAAGTGATAAAGGGAATGAACACCTATCTTTGTGTACATATCTGCCATTAGGTTTAGGTTGTCAAGATCCCTTTGCACTTAGTATTCTAAAGTAGTGCTGGGCAACATTTTTGTGGTAGCAGACTCAGGTCTAAGACAGGCCAGTACTAGGACCCAGCTGCTGCCACGACACTTCTCCTTGCAACCCAGCCATGACATGGGTAAGCCTCCTACCACCTTACACAGGTGAAGCCCCCACACTATCGAAGCCCTCTGCTGCCCGTCTGCAGTGCAGCACTGCCAAAATCTCCCAGGTCTACAGGCCAAATCCAGTGCCTCTGCAGACCCACAGGCTGCTGACCCATTGTCTAAAGTCTTTTTTTCACCCCATGGGCTCATTCTCTCTCACACACACACACACACACACACACACCACTGTTTTCATTATATCATATAACTCCTCAAAGCCAGCCCTTTCTATCCCCACACCAAACCTACACAGCAGTCTAAACAACCTTCTCATTAGTTTTGTGCCATCACCAGCAATGACCACGTGCCAACAATGCCAGTAGGCTCATCAATCCTACAGCCTAGATGGCTTGCCTGGAGGAGAAAATTATGATTATTATCATTAATTATATTCTGGCAGTTTGCCCAGTGATGTCTATGGCCTCTGCCTCAAGAAACTTAAGATGCAGGAGCCTGGTTCTGAAATAGGTTAATCAACACAGGGCTTAGTCCTGTAAGTAGTCCCACTGCATTGCTTTTTTGGTTTTAAAGGAAACTGTCGCTGCAGTAAGCAATACACATAGGTGCCATGTGTCCAGGAGCAATAAAAAACTTTGGGTAATTGACTGTGTGGGACTTTAAGCTGCAGGGGCAGACAGATCTTCCTAGAGTCAGCATGTAATCAGCCAGCATCTAATGTCAATATTTATGCTAAGATCTTCTGTATTTCAAGATCCAAAGTATTCAACGTTAGAGTTCTACACCTATGTGATTGAACTGTGCAAATCAATTTTTTAACTGAAATGAAACCCAGGGGAGCACCACAAATGATTCTCAGCCTTTCTAGACTTGAGGTGCCCCTCAATAATCTTGAGATACTCCATGGAAAAAGCCATCTCCCAGTTTTCACTCATTTTTTGAATACAGAACAATGATCTCAGTGGTGGCAAATGACACAATAAGGAGCAATGGTCTCAAGTTGCAACAAGAGAAGTTTAGATTAGATATTAGGAAAAGGTTTCTCACTAGGAAGGTAGTAAAACACTGCAACAGGTCACCCAGAAAGGTTGTGGGATCTCCACTAGGGCTGTGCGAAATGACTGTTTCAATTTGGTTTCAGATTCGGCCGTTTCGGAGGACAGTGATTTGTTTCAGTGTTTCAGATCACTGTCCTGTTTTGTTTCAGCTAAATCTGTTTCGGAGATTCGGCTCTGCTGAATCTGTTCCGAATGGTCTGTAAGGCAAGCTTTGCGCAGCCCTACCCAGCCGGGCGGGGCTTGGGGCCAGGGTGGGGCTTGGGGCCAGGGGCCCCAGCAGGAAACAGGACAGGGCCATGTGTGGTTCGTCCAGGAGATGGGGAGGGCCGCAGCACTCCATGCAGGCGAGGAAACCCCCATATAGCTTCCTGATCCATGTCACACTGGGTAGCAGGGCAGGGAAGCAGCGCAAAGTGCTGAACAAGCCTGCTGGTCCCTGCTGTGTGACTCAACTCCACAGAGAGAAGAGATCCGCGCTGTGGTCTCCTCGCTGCCGCTGCCCCAGCAACATGGGGCTACGCGGGGCAGACAGCAGTGGCAAGGAGACCCCAGCGTGGACCTCCACTCCCTGCAGAGCCAGGTCACGTGGCAGGACAGTGCTGGTCCCTGCTGCGTGACCTGGCTTCACAGGGAGCAGAGATCTGGGGCTGCACGGGGCAGGCAGTGGTGGGGAGGAAACCACAGTAGAATCTCTGCTCCCTGTGGAGCCAGGTCGTGCGGCAGGGATTCCTCAGCCCCTGGTTTAATTGCCCAACTCTCTGATCATTCCCCTACCTCTTCCCAGGGGGCGCAAGCCCCCTGATCTGCACACAGGGTTTCAACAGGCTGCCGCTGCAGGCTGGGGCCAGCAACAGCACCACAGTCTTCACGGTGCTCAGCACAGGCTGTGCCAAGTAGCTGCTGTTGCTCCAGCCTGCTGAAACCCCGCACACAGATCGGGGGACTCGCACCCCCCGGGAAGAGCTGGGGAAGTGATCAGGGAGCTGGGGAATCAAAACGAGACCTAGATGTTAGTATCAGAGCAGTCCTTCCCTCCCTCTTCTTAGTTTTTGTTTCCCTGCAAGCCTGGCTGCAAAACTCCAAAATTCTCCGACACATTTCAGAGCCTTCTGTTTCAATTCGGGTTCAGTGTTTCAGGCACCAACATGGCCCAGAACACCTCTGAAATGAAACGGCTGCCGAAATTTCGCACAGCCCTAATCTCCATCCTTAAGACCTGGGTAGATAAAGCCTTGACTGGGATGATACAGTTGGGATGGTCCTGCTTGGAGCAAGGGGTTGGACTAGACCTCCTGAGGTCCCTTCCAACCTTAATTATCTATGTTTCTATGAATAGAGCATTCATAGAAACATAGAATTCTTCCACTACAAAGAACTCAGAAAGACCACAACAAGTCAGAACATTTTAAACACTATAGATTCCTACTTGAAATCTTTGAGTTTATCTGATGAGTGATGTTTGCACACCTAACAGTACTATTTGAGTGGCAGCCTGAAGCACCCTTGAAAGGATCTCAAGGCACCTTGGAATAGCATGTGAATGGCGAAAGGAGGGAGAGAAGCTGCATGACCTTAAATACTCTTATGCCCTCGCTACTACACACAGTAAAGGAATGGACAGCTCTTTGAAAGTTACCTACTTTTCCTTCTCTTGTCCAGCTGGGGTGCCTAACTGGAGGGTACTTTCTCTTGTTCAGACCT